GTCAACAAATCCCAAAAAAGTTGGGACAAGTCCATTTTTACCACTGTGTGGCATCCCCCCTTCTTCTTACAACACTCCACAGACGTCTGGGGACAGAGGAGACCAGTTTCTCAAGTTTAGAAATAGGAATGCTCTCCCATTCATGTCTAATACAGGACTCTAACTGTTCAATCGTCTTGGGCCTTCTTTGTCGCACCTTCCTCTTTATGATGCACCAAATGTTCTCTATAGGTGAAAGATCTGGACTGCAGGCTGGCCATTTCAGTACCCGGATCCTTCTCCTATGTAGCCATGATGTTGTGATTGCTGTAGAATGTGGTCTGGCATTATCGTGTTGAAAAATGCAGGGTCTTCCCTGAAAGAGATGACGTCTAGATGGGAGCATATGTTGTTCTAGAACCTGAACATAGTTCTCTGCATTAATGGTGCCTTTCCAGACATGCAAGCTGCCCATGCCACAAGCGCTCATGCAACCCCATACCATCAGTGATGCAGGCTTCTGAACGGAGCGTTGATAACAACTTGGGCTATCCTTGTCCTCTCTGGTCCGGATGACATGGCGTCCCAGTGTTCCATAAAGAACTTCAAACCGTGACTCATCTGACCACAGAACAGTCTTCCATTTTGCCACACTCCATTTTAAATGACCACTGGCCCAGTGTAAATGTCTGAGCTTGTGGAGCTTCCTCTTTGCACTGTAGAGTTTCAGCTGGCAACAGCGGATGGCACGGTGGATTGTGTTCACTGACAATGCTTTCTGGAAGTATTCCTGAGCCCATTCTGTTATTTCCTTGACAGTGGCATTCCTGTTTGAGGTGCAGTGACGTTTAAGGGCCCGGAGATCACGAGCATCCAGTAGAGTTTTACGGCCTTGACCCTTACGCACAGCGATTGTGCCAGATTCTCTGAATCTTTTGATGATGTTATGCACGGTTGATGATGATAACTTAAAAGTCTTTGCTACTTTACGCTGGGTAACACCATTCTGGTATTGCTGCACTATCTTTCTGCGCAGCAATGGTGGAATTGGTGATCCTGTTACCATCTTGGCTTCTGAGAGACACTGACACTCTGAGAAGCTCTTTTTATACCCAATCATGTTGTCTATTGACCTAATTAGTGTTAATTGGTCTTCCAGCTGTTCGTTATATGCCCAATTTCCTTTTTCCAGCCACTTATTGCTACTTGTCCCAACTTTTTTGGGATTTGTTGACACTGTGAAAATTTTGAATCAACATATTTTTCCTTTAAAATGTTATATTTACTCAGACTAAACTTTTGATCTGTCATCTATGTTATATTACAAATGAAATATCAACATTTGCCATCGCCACATCATTGCATTCAGTTTTTATTCACAATTTGTTTAGTGTCCCAACTTTTTTGGAATCCGGTTTGTACAACACATTTATATACAGTACTTAATAATCTATCTAAGGGGCTAGATTGCAATGGCAATAGTGGAGAAGAATGACTCCATTTTGGCAGGAGTACCTGTTGTTATTTTCCACTTTGGCCAAAATGGCTGTAGCATGTCAGGTGAAGAACAAGGGGTCCCATCTGACTTTTAACCTCATCTGCCAAGCAATGGCACAGCATTCATTTCCACCACTTACTAGGAGAATTAGTTACAAGTTGGTGAGCTGAAATTTAAAAACTTTACACAGATGTTGAAATGTGAGAGGTTTGTCACAACAACCAAACTTCTTCTGCTCTTTATAACTTTAAAACACCTGCATGAAGTGCAATACTCAAAAACAGGAACTTAGCAAACAATAGTCTAGCATTAAAAGCAATCATCAATACAGAAGCAGCAGAAAAGCAGCAGATATTTTACTTGCTAAGCACTGACTCAACACTGTAATGCATCCTGAGCCAGCAATGAATGAAAACAACAGTCAGCAGGGCCGACTGATTCACAGCGTAGGAGCTAAAACATCTTATCAGCGTCAGCTCGCTAATGCCTCTGCTATAAACACCTCCCAGTTTAATCTCGAGGTACATGATAACAATGTCACCATTAGAAGAAACATCACAGAGAGGTGTTATTACTTACTTCCCATATGAAAGTCCTGTGAGCTTCGTGACCTGACGGTTCCACTTCATGTTTTTTTCTAGTATCGACAGAAGTTAGTTTTAAATCCTAAAGAACCTTTTTCAAATAATCTTGCTTTTATATTTTAGTGCATGCTTGGTCTACCCTAAGGACTGAAGCTGAATCCTGTAGCAGTAAAAGAAGGATCACCTTGTGGAGAATTATCCAATCAGAGAAAGGTACCTGTCATCTTGGGCAGGCATCCAAATCTAGCTAAATATAAACTCCTTATAATCCAGAGTCTCCTCTTTCAGTCTGTTCCGCTTCTCTCTCTACTTGGAGCTCTCCTCCGTTCTAAGCTTCAATCAGAGAAGTTTTCTCTGCTGTCAGCAGCGTTCCAGAATAACTCGCCTCTCGCTGCCTGTTGTTCTCGGCTGTGTTCACTCCCCCAAGAGCAAAAGTCATTTACCAGTGGCAGTGCAATCCCTTCTGAGTCTCCTCCCTCCCTCCCTCCCCCAGACGGCGCAACATATCCAGGCCTGTCCTCCCTGCCACAGCACCTAGAAACACTTTTCACTCACGTTACACGCATCCTGTTATGAGTCCTTCTCTTCCTGCGTCTTCAAATATTTCCAGACACCAGGACGACAAGCAAACAAACCGAACTGAACGCACTGAACTCCAGCAAAATATCTTCAACCTAATCTCCTTTAAGGCTCGGCTGCCTGCAAATATGCCAAGAATTTTCAGATTTAGGGAAAAAAAAAAAAGAGCAAAACTCAAGTTGAACTGAACAGTCTGAGCTTCTGCTTTGTTTTTCACATCAAACAGGCAGGCTTGAGAAGAAATTCACACAACAGGTTGTAGTTCCTCTGAATATTTGCCGTCTGTGACATAATGTCTAGAAATAAACAGGTGCACCTTAAAAAATTAGAATATCGTGAAAAAGTTCTGTTTTTGTCATCAACCATTTCAGAAAGTGAAACTCATAAAACAAAGGTTTAATATTCTGCGTCTTGGAAGATTAGAATATTGAAGACGTTCAATACTGTGAACTCCTGGTGTCACACCTTAATCAGCTGATGAACTCCTCAACACGAGCTACAAACGTCTCATTCCTCAAGTCCAGCCACTCCAGACCCAGAGACAACATCATAAGTGTCTTACCTGCTGTGGAAACAAAGAACTGGACTGTTGCTCAATGGTCCGATGTCCTCTTTTCCGATGAAAGTACATTTTCATGTCATTTATAAATCAAGGTCTCAGAGTCTGGAGGAAGAGAGAAGAGGTCCAGAATCCACATTGTTCAAGTCCAGAAGGAAGTTTCCACAGTCATTAAAACCTGGCACGGGTCCATTTTGGGCGCTCAGGTTTGTTTACGTTCATCGTGGAAGTAGAACTTCTTCTTCTATGTTTTTTAAGGAGAGTTTATCACTCTGCGCATGTCAGTATTTCTATTCAGAATAAAAGTCAGCTGCATGGAAACGCTCGTCGTGAGCGGATTGTATCCATGTAAACGATACTTTTGGATTATTTAATCTGAATACATTTCAATCCGATCAAAGAATGTTGCGCATGTAAACATAGCTAGTGACGGTTTGGGTCCATGTCCTCTGCTGGTGTTGGTCCACTGTGTTTTTCTGAAGCCCTCAGTCAGTGCAGCATCTAGCAGGACATTTTAGAGACTGCATGCTTCCTGCTGCTGACGAGCTTTATGGAGATGATGGTTTCATTTTCCAGCAGGACTCGACTCCTGCCCACACTGACAGAGGTACCAGAAGATGGCTGTGGAATATTCTGTTTTTCTGAGACACTGAATTTTGATTTTTCATTATTTTTAAGCCATAATCAAATTACAAGAAATAAAGGCTTGAAATATTTCACTCTACGTGCAATGAATCTATAAATGAGTTTCACTTTCTGAAAAGACTGACAAAATAAATTAAACTTTTTCTTTGAGATGCACCTGTAAGTAACTTGTGTGCAGTTTAAGTTAAAACATCTCATCTAGGGATGCACGATATTATCGGCATGGTATCAGTAGATATTAGCGTTAAAGTTCAATATCAGACATCGGCCATTCCATCAAAATAACTCACCGATATAAAAGACGCTGTTTTTGCATGACAACCCAGTGACAAGGACGCCTGCAGCGGCAGCACGTGATGATGTCGCGCACGCCTACCTGATCTCATGACAGAGAGGAAAATTCAAAATGGAAGGGGTTTTTTCCATTAAGGATACTGGAATCCGAGGATTTTTGGACTACGTTGAGCCTCGCTACATCGTCCCCAGTCGGAGATATTTTTCCGATGTAAACTTATCAGAGTTACAAGACGTTATTTCCAACGTCATTGAGAAGCTAATAGCCGATAGCACTTGGGTGAGTTTTACCACAGACATTTGGACGTTAAGTGTTAACCTCGTTAGCATGATTAGTCTTACGGCACAATGGATAGACAAAAACTTTGATCTTATAAAGTCTGTCCTTCATGCACACGAGTGCAGAGGATCTCACACTGCAGCTATAGGAACCTGGAACAAACCTCCACAAGTGAGACAGCATCGCAGGTGACTAATGCTAATAAATAACATTTAACACTTTTCATTATATAAGTTAAAGTGCTCTGCAGATCATATGGCTGTTATTGAATATATGTCACCAGCTTTTACAGCTGTTACATAATTTTTGTAGCAAATAAGCCTAAATAAGATGCTATGTTCTGACAAAGACAAGTATATAAAATATCGGTATCGGCCAAATAAGTTTTAACATATCGGCCAAAAATCCAATATCGTGCATCCCTAATCTCATTGGTTTAATAAAATGGCTGTAAAATGCTTCACACAAGGGTCAGAAATCTGGTGTCAACAAATAAGAGCTGGGCAGATTTTTGAACATCAGATTAAATGAACGAGTCACATGGTACCATCTTCATGCAATAATTAAGACGAACACACCCACCTTGTGCACAATATCTCCCAGGTTTTTGCAGTAAGTGAATATGTTTTTGGTATCGTTGTATCCGCTGAGCTGGAAAAACTGATATCTGTAAAGTCAAATTGTACTTCAAATTAGTTTGGACAGAATAGTGGTAGAAAGGCTAATTAAAAATGTAATCAGTATATTAAGTAAGTTTGAAAATATTGCATTTATTGCACTTAAAGTACAGTAAGTTGTCTTGAAGGTGACATATTTGTTGATAACTTCCTGTTGAGATATTCCCTTAAAATAACAGGCAATGTATTTTTTTATTCAAATGATTAAAACACAAATAAATAAAATTAGCTATATAGTGCATATTGCATCCTATTTTAATCACTGATTTAAAAAAGGATGATTTTGTCAGTTACACCATGTTTGTGATAACTTGGATTTAAAACTGACATTGAAATTAAAACTTTTATAAATTTGGAAAACCTTCAGTTGTATACAAAAAACATAAAAAAATACATTTAACCTACTTTTAAATGAAAAACACAGCAATATTTCAAGCATTACATTTAAGGTTCCTTTTCACAAACCTGTTGAGTAAAGAGAAAAGGCCTTTAGCAGACGTGATGAGTTCAACGACAATGTTCAGAACCCCAGTAGACATCTTGGTGGTGCTCCGACCATCGTAGCCATTGAGGCGCCAGCGGCTTTGAATGCTCGTCTGCAGCGTGTGGGCAACAGCGGCCAACTTCTCCGTTAAAACTTTCAGGCTCTCCCCTCTGAAGCCGTAACTCTGGAGAGAGCACACAGAAAGCACATACCTTAAAAGTAGCCAAGCCCTGCTCCTGTGATGACGTCATTGGTTGGTCCAGCTCTTATCGTATACTTAAAATCCACCTCCTCTTGTTTCCTGTCACTCATTCACTAACTGGTTTTAAATGAAGCCACGTAAAGCCTAAAACAGGTCCTCTATCATGGCAATTAGACAGAAATTTGTTTTGTTTGAGAGGATTCACACTTTTACACCAACTGAGCTGACTTTACTTCTGATGCTAAAAAGTTTCAACACTATCTTTCCCATCTTCCGTCAGAAAGGCCTAGTCCATTTCAGCAAGTCACCTTCCTCCCATCTCATCCATGCATGGTGTTCCTATTGAGTTTGCAGACTCTTACAAATACTTGGGAATTTTGGTCGACGCACATCTCTTTTAAACCACGTGTCGAAAACTTCATAAAGAAACTGAAATTAAAACGGAGTTCCTTATTCAGAAATAGATCTCGTTTAACTCTGAATGCCAGAAAACACATTGTAACGCTACCTTCCTACCAGCCACTGACTATGGTGACATTATTTAAATGAATGCCCCTGCCAGTTCCTTGCAGATGTTGGTTGCCGTCTACCACGGCACGCCAAGACTCATAACTGGTTGCAACTACCGTACCCATGACTGCACCTTGTATTCACTGGTCAGCTGGTCATCATTATCCACGTGAACGCTCTCTCACTGGTTCATTTTCATCTTTAAATCCCTCCTTGGTCCGCTGCCTTCTTGTATCTCCTCCCACGTGTCACGCCGTCAGTGCAGTTACAACATGCGCTCTCAGTCCATCGTTACCTGCAGCGTTCCCTCATTGCGGACTGAACTTGGCAAAAAGGCCTTTTCCTATTCTGCTCCTGCACCTGGAACACCTTGCAACAGGAACTGAAGCTGTCCACTTAAATCTCTTTAAGGGGTTTCAAACATTTGATAATGTCAATAGAAAAATCAAAGCAGATATGTTCTTGTTTTTTAGTATTTCATCGTTTTACAGCACCTTGATATACACTACTCTTATTTTAACTGCATTTTTACTGTAGTTTATTGTTGTCTGTACTTTATATGTTCTGTCTGGAACAGGTCTCTCTTGTAAATGGGTCCTCGTGGCTCAATGAGACTAGCCTGCATAAAGAACAGGTTGAACGAATGAAAAAAAAAAACTTATTGGTCAAAAACATCCAAAACAGATTGTCATACATGTACATACATATATCCCTAATTTACTTTATAGCTCTGTGAACCAATCAACTTACCAAAATGTGTGCTTTTAATGCACCATGACACTGTGCACTGAAAATAAATATAACACTTAAGTTTGTGGCATTGTTGCACACCGTTTACCATTTAACACAAGTTTCATTAAACAATTCTGTTGATCGTTTCCACTTTTCAAAATCCTGCATCTACGAGCACAAATTCCAGTCATATACATTTTATTTTGTGCTTGTAAATCAAAATATGGTTGTGAATAACTTTTGCACCTTGCAAACCAAAATGTCTGAGAATTACAACTCCACCGATAAGAATTTATGCGTCTGTATTTGTAAACATCATAACACAACTTATTTTGTTGCAAAATTAAGGAAATAGGGGCCTAGTACCGGTAGAACATTTTAGAGATAGAGGACGGTACAAACGCTTCTACGGCTCAGGTAGGCATTGCTTTATGGTTTAGTGGAACAAAACCAAAATCATCGCCCAGATATATATTTTTGTACATCACGTACGGTAGCGCTGGTACCGTCCTCCATCTTCAAAATGTACTGCCCTTCCAAGACCCCCACCCCGACAGCCAAACCCATCCGTTCTCTGATTGGATTGTTAAATATGTGATTGACATGGCATTGACCAATCAGCTGAAAGGAAGAAACATCCAGTCATAATTCATATTTGCAAGTTTAAACTCATGCAAGTCAGGGAACTTGAGCGCTGAAATTTATATACAGTTTTACTGTGTAATTAATTTTTACAAATATGAATCGTTTTTACATACACATAAATTCTTATCTATGGATGTACAAACATTTTATTCCCCAACATTTTGATTTACAAGCACAAAATATATACGACTGGGATTTGTGCCCATATGCATCTGGCTGGTAGCACAAAATACTTGTCAGCACATAATTGCCCTCTTACACCGTTACCACTCCGCGACTACCCCCGCTGCTCACTCAGAGGTGTAACAGTGGTGAAAAAACGTTAACACCCTTCTTCTGCCTCAATGTACACTCCACTGAAGAGGGAAGAACGTTGTCAGGCTTGTGTGAAACTGGTTTCTATTTGCAGTGTGTCAAACCACCCATTAGACAGATGTCATGCAGATGTGTTTTATGATGATGTCAAGTGAACAGAGAATTCTGGACCAGCAAGAACATTTCAGCTTAAGAAGCAATATCTGCTATTTTATATGACACATTAAGGAAAATTGCCAAGTGCAAACCTGCTAAGTGTGATACTTTGAAGATCCAGTAGCATACTGTGACGTCAAGTAGATTTAAACCAAAAGATTGCTCCCCACTCTGTCATTCCAATCATGTACTGAAAGTTGAAAAATCTAACTTCAGCATTTCTATTACATTTGTTTTACGCCACTGTATTGCAACATGTCTTAACAGCTACTCACAACACCGTTGGGTATTACTTGCATATTACCGGTAATGAAACTCAACATTAGATATTTTTAAATCTCTCTAAAATAACATGTATAATTAAAGTAACGCTAGCAATCTTCGAGTCAATGCATATAAACCAGCCGCTTTGCAAGTTAAAAAAAAATAAAAAATAGCTTATGTGGTCTGTTAGCACTAAGACAACAAATGTCACCTCAATATCTGTAAAAATGGCTGAGTTATAGTCATTTTGTGTTTGATAAGGTCAGTGAGCATCGATGGCCATTTCAAAACAGAACGACTCCAAATCAGTTGGAGATGTACATTTAATGAATACTTTCTAAGGATTTGATTAAAATCCATCCAGAGGTTTACGAGAATTTTGCCAACAGACAAATGAACACACACACCCCATTTAAAGCTGTCGATATTTAAACTGTCTTAACGCCAGTATATTACGAAGCTTACAGAGCTGAACTGTAGCCCAAGTTATAATGCAATACAAATCAGACATGACAGAAATAGCCAACCAGTGTAACATTAGATTACGTAACCTTAAAAGTCCTTTAGAATAACAGAGTTTCTTATGCTCCTCTCACATGCCTGTCATCATTATTTGCTACCCAGTGACAGAGACATGACTCTTCAAAGGCACTGGTAATGGAGCCTTTCATTGGAACGGTGCACTCATCGTAGGGTCAAGAGCTTTCGACCAGTCAGGCTTTGTTGGTACATCATGCAGTGACGGGAACAAGCTCATCAAACAAGTGGCCATGAATCTTTTATGGCCTTTTCAACACTGTAGCTGCTAAATATGAAGCTGTGAGCTTGAATGTGTTTGGACTGAGTCATGAGTGCTGGCACTTCCTCTCTGACTTCAAGATCCATGAAGAGTACACACAACCTCATACTCGCCTTGTTTAAAGGTAAAAGCTTTCTCTTGTTATCAGCTGCTGCCGAAAAAGTGGGCAAATATGTTTAAATGCCTGTGACTATGGGTTTGCCTCTCTGTTAGCAGAATAACTCACGAACCACTATAATTTTATTAAAACAAATCAGAGAAAAAAAAACCCACTAGATGTACATCTGCAACTCTAATTTTTAGAGATGACCCAATTCAAGATGGCCGCCAAAGCCAAGCAACCTTTACAAACACAAAAATTACTGTCAATTTTACAGATAACGAGAGAAAATTTGGTGTGGTAGTAGCTGAAAGTCATTCTGAACACATGCTCCGTTTGAATTTTCTGCCTAAAATTTTACCACTAAGCGTTGGAGACACTTGTTTGTCGGTTAACAAAAAGACCGCTAAAGCACTAGTTAAATTTTAATGAAACTTTCAGAAAGTAATCTTTCAATGGACATCTATATAGGATTTTTTTTTTTGGCGTTAACCTAATTCAAGATGGCCACTACAGTTATTTATGTTTAGTTAAAACAAAAATGGATATAACTGTCAGTTTTACAGAGACTGAAGTAAAATGTGTTGTGATAGTAGTTGAGGCTCATCCACATCATATACCCTAATTGGCATGAATTTATACCACAAGACCTAACAAGAACTGTGAGATCTTGCATAATGTTTTCATGAAGATTTGACATCAAAGGGTACATCACCATCTCTACGCATTAGACAATGTTAGTGTAATACTCTGACATGAAATGTGGTGAGCAGTATGCATCCATTTAAGGAATGCTAAGCATTTAATTATTGCAGACTTTGGATAAAGCTCTTACCGCAGTTTGATCTGTCTTATGGTCATTTCAAAACCTCAATAACCAGAAGTCTAAGCTGTCTTAGCTTGATGTTTACAGCTTGATACGTCACCAGAGCTGGACATTTGCCTGGCTCTGTCCTGCTAAATTAGTACTTAAAGTGAAACAAAAGCTATTCTGGAAACATACCAACTCAATTACCTAAATCCCTATAACATTCTTGCAAGTTTGGATAGGCCGTAAATTTAATTATGCAGCCTCTGATTGCCTCCAGGACCGGATGGATGGATGAATAGATGGATATACTTGAGCGGGGGACTTTGAATTGAGAAAAAAGCAATAAGAACTTTGACCTGCTAAAGGACATCCGAAGCAGGATTTGGATGTCTGTGAGAACAGTAATCGTAGATTCACACTGTCACTCACACTTAGGGACGATTTAGAGTTACCAATTAGCCTAACATGTATGTTTGATGTCTGTGGGAGGAAACTGGAGTACCCTGGGTATCATGTACCAACTGCACGCCCAAAACAGAATACAGTGGTTTGCATAAACCCCAGTGGAACAAAGCAAACAAAGAATGATTAAACTAAACAAATGCACCTTTTCTTTTTCTTTCTTTTTTTTTTTACAAATTAGGTAATTTTGAATAAGATATATGTTGCGATTATGAATATACCTCCTCTGCCAAATTGCCACTTTTAACATGGTGGCGGGGTTTGAGTACCCTTTTGATCCTGAGGGCTATGTTGCCTGGGACATTAGCCCCTGGTAGAGTCTCGCATGGCAAACAGGCCTTGGAGGAAGAATTGCTAAGAGCAATTCAAAAATCTTGATGAATCAACAACAGAGGCATCAGGATACCTTGCCTGGAATTGGGAAAATGGGACACCTCCCAGGAGCCAGACCTGGAGGAGAACTCGCTGGCGAGCGCCTGGGGGTCGAACCTGGAGGGGGGGGTCGGTACATGGAATCTGAATGGGCCATGTTCAGGCCTACATGTGTCTACATGTGTTTTGTGGACCTGGATAAGGCTTATGACCATGTTCTTCGAGGCATTATGTTAGAGTGCTGCAAGAATATGGGATGCCTGGGTTGCTTTAAAGGGATATCCGGTCCTTGTATAACCAAAGCAGGAACTGTGTCTGCATTTTCTGCAAAAGGTTGAGCATGTTCCCAGTGCAGGTCGGACTTTGCCTGGACTATCCCTAGTGTCCAATCTTGTTTGTGGTGTTCATGGACAGGATCTCAAGACACAGTCTGGGAGAGGAGGGTTTCTGATTTGGTAACCTCAGAATCTCATTTCAGCTATATGCAGATGATGTAGTTCTGTTGACATCTTGGGGCCAAGACCTTCACTGGGGCGATTTGCAGTAGAGTGTGAAACGGCTAGAATGAGAGTCAGTTCCTCCAAGTCAGAGGCAAGGTTCTCGACAGGAAGCATGTTGAATGCTGTCTCCGAGTTGGGGGTGAGACTTTGCCTCAGGTGGAGGTGTTAAAGTATCTGGGCGTCTTGTTCACACGTATATTTTATATATTTTGTATACATTTTATAAAGCACCTTGATTTTATTGTTTTATAACACTGCTTTTATTTTAATTGCATTTTATTGTAGTTTATTGTTGTCTGTACGTTATATGTTGTCTGTCTAAAACAGGTCTCTCTTGTAAATGAGTCCTTGTGACTCAATGAGACTAACCTGTATAAATAAAGGTTGAATGAAAAAAAGTAATGGAGGAATGGAGCGAGTTGGGGCCTTGTCCTCAGTAATGTGGGCATTGCGTTGGTCTGTCGTGGTGAAGAAAGAGCTGAGTCAAAAGGCAAAGCTCTCGATTTACTGGTCTACCTTCATTCCAACCCTCATCTATGGTCATGAGGTTTGGATAATGACCGAAAGAACGAGATCCTGGATGCAAGCGGACGAAATGGTCTTCCTTCATAGGGTGACGAGGTTCAGCCTTAGCAATAAGGTGAGAAGATCCATCATCTGGGGGAAGCTAGTAGAGCTGCTACTCTTTCGCATCAAAAGGTATCAGTTGAGGTGGTTCGTGCATCTGATTAGGATGCCATATGGATGCCTCCCTTTAGAGGTTTTCCAGGCACATCCCTCTGGTAGGAGGCCCTGGGGAAGATCTAAAAAATGCTGGAGGGATTGTGTATCTTCTCTGCCCTGGGAATGCCTTGGGGTCCCCCAAGTCAAGCGTTGCTGGGGAGAGGGATGTCTGGGTTTCTCTCCTGGACCTGTTGCCTCTGCAACCCAACTATGGATAAGTGGTAGAAGATGATGAAGATGAAGAATGTGAATATTTTACTAAAACCTGTTAAGATTTTTTTCTGGAAACCACAGATACCACATCCTCCATACTGAAGGGGAGAGGAACCATCTGGCTTGCTATCAGTGCACAGTTCAAAAACATGCCTCTCTGATGATATGGGGGTGAATTTGCGCCAATGGCATAAGCATCTTATCCATTGAGCACATCTGTAAACATATCCCTGTTTCAACTTATTTGAGATGTGTTGCTGAAAGAAAAAAAAAAAAAAATCTAAATTTGCGCCCCCCCCCAAAATAAAAAAACAGCGGTACAATATCTTAGTCTAAACATTTGATAGGTTGTGTGATACTTTGTTCCATTGTGAATAAAATATGGGTTTATAAGATTGCAAATCATTGCATTCTGTTTTTTGTTTACATTTTACACACATGTCTTGTAAATCTCTATACTGCAATGATAAAACATGGATTATTGCTCAGTTAATATCCATCACTTTCATAACACACACACACAACAGAAAGTCTTGTAGATAAGGAGCACCACTGCAGACATGTAAACAAACACACAACTGCTAATCCTCACTCACCAGAGAGCAGAGCTTCTCCACAGCTTCCAGTATGAGCTCCTGGTGTCCAATCTTAGAGACTCCCAACTTCTCCAGGTCCAGGGAGGTCAAACTGAGAAGATTCATGCCCGATAAAGCCCACTCTGAGACCTGGTATTGACTTATGGGGGCATCCAGACCTGGTCACAGCAGGACAAGCACACATGAATGCTTAAAGCATTTGGAAGCTTCCAGCAGGAATGGAAACACTACAGTGAGAGAGCATGCACAGGCATGAAAAATGAATTTACTCTGCCTTATTGTAGGGCAATTATAGGCAAAAAGGAAAAATGTCATCCTTGAAAACTGAGAAGTTTGAGTTATTAATTTATTAATGAATAAATTCTCATTTGTGCAAGCTTAGCTATAGGAACTACTGAAACACAAAACACAAGGTAAATGTGATTAAACTACTTCATAAAACTACAAAAGGAATCTTTTAAACGTGAAAACTTAAGTAAAGAGGTGGAAACAATTGATTTACATCAGTTTACATAAGTAATCATTGGTTTGCACACATCAAAAAGCAAAGACGGACAATATTGTTTATGCATTTGTCTGTCTGTTAGCAAAATATCACATGAACTACTGTAAATGTTAATAACACTTTCAAAAAGTATTTACTGGCTGTACAACCAGTTAACTTTTGGAGTCAACACAATTCAAGATGGCTGCTACAGCCAACTGAACTTGGAAAAAAAACACAAAAATGACCTAAATTCACTCAGTTTTTCAGAAGTTAGGCTAAAATCTGGTGTGGTAGTAGCAGAGAGTTATTTGCAACACTTGTCTACATGATACACATTGCACAAGCTTTTGGCTTTAAACTTTTGCATTTGGTGTCAACCCTATTTGTTAGCAAAATATCTCGTAAACCATGAAACACATTTAAATAAAATCTTTTAATAATAAAAACTAATGCATTTTTTTTGTTAGCGCCTTTCAAGACACCCAAGGACACTTCGCAACATTAAAAATAAAACAATACAAAATGGCTTTAAAAACACTAAACCAAGAAGAAAATAACAAAAAATGAAAGTGAGAAGGCTAACTTGAACAGATGAGTTCTGAGTTGTGATTTGAAGGTCTGAAGGGAGACAATATTACAGATGTCTGGGGGAAGAGCGTTCCAGAGTTGGGGGGCGGAGTGAGAAAAGGCTCTGTGTCCCGTGGTGCTGAGGAGGATGGACGAGGAAGAACGAAGGGAGCGTGAATGGCTGATAATGTGCAGGAGATGGGACAGATAGGGAGGGACGAGGTTACGGATGGCCTTGAACGTGTACAACAGGATTTTAAATTGAATTCTGAAAGTGACTGGAAGTCAGTGACGTTGCAGTAAAACTGGGGTGATGTGGTGAAATGAGGGGGTTTAGGTAACGATGCAGGAAGCTGAATTTTGAACCACTTGAAGCTTGCGGAGTAATTTTTGCAGCAGACCGAAAAGAAGAGAGTTGCAGTAATTAATTTGAGAAATGACCAAACTATGGACCAAGATGGAAGCAGAGTGCGGGGAGAGGGATGGATGGGGACGGTTGATGTTTCCAAGGTGGAAGTATGCAGACCGGGTGATATTATTGATGTGAGAGTGAAAAGAGAGAGTGCTGTCAAGAATGACACCCAGACTCTTAACGTGAGGGGAGGGAGAAACCATGGAGCGGTCAATGGTGAGGGAAAAACTGTTGACTTTAGATATGGTGAATTTAGTACCGATGAGTAGAAACTCTGTTTTATCACCGTTTAATTTAAAGGGAGTTAGATGTAAACCAGGATTTAATTTCAGCTAAGCAGGAAGTGAGGAAGGAAGGAGGAAGTGAAGAATTAGGTGCAGTGGATAAGAAGAGCTGGGTGTCATCGGCAAAACAATGGAAGTAAATGTTAAATTTACGGAAGATATTGCCAAGGTGGAGAAGGTAGATGATGAAAAGAAGGGGCCCCAGGACAGAGCCTTGGGGCACACCTGAAGTCATGGGGGAGAAGTGGAATCTGAATGATTTAAGCTGGATGAACGGAGTGCGGCCACAGAGAAATGACTGAAACCAAGCGAGGGGCGTATGGGTGATGCCAATAGATGAAAGTCTGCGGAGGAGGATGTTGAGGGAGATGGTATCAAACACCGCACTGAGATCGAGGAGGATGAGAAGAGAAAGTAAACCAGAATCTGCCGCCATGAGAAGAATGTTAGTGATTCTCAATCCAGGCTTCTTAACGACTGGAGTGACAACTGCAGTTTTGAAAATCGTTGGTACATTTCCTGAAGAAAGAGAAGCGTGAATAATGGCAGAAATGATAGGGAGAAGTGGAAAAACGGCACGATTTTACAAGCACTGCTGGGAGAGGAAAGTAATCATTGTAGTTACAATTGTTTAATGTTTGAAGTCAACCCAATTCAAGATGGCCACCGCAGCTAATCAATATCAGCCAACACAAAAATGGCCCTCGCTCTGTCAATTTAACTTATATTGAGCTGAAATTTGATGTGGTAGTAGCTGTGAGTCATTCACAACCAATACTCTGAGGGTGACAGCTTGTGATATTGTAACAAGTTATAGTCAAGATTTAAACTGAATGACTACACGTGCCAAAACTGATTTTTGTTATAGTATTAAATGGTAATGGCTTTAACTTAAATTATTATGTAACTGTTTTAACATGTTAATACATAAAACTAACTGCATGTTTTGTAAGTAAACAAACAAGAAAAAGAAAATTGCATCTGGTGACTTTATTTACTAAAGCAGCCAGGATTATTATGCCAGTAATCTGATTAAAGTGTTTGTAAGCAGGTGGCCATTATTCCCAGGCAGCGCAAGAAGCATTAATCCCTGTTGGGCTTTGAGTGAACTCTTCACTTTTATTTTTCTGGGTAAAAGAGGGATAAACCTGTACGGCAAGAGAGAAGTCAAACAGTTTGAGCGGATCCAAATGGAATTGTTGACACAGAGCAGAAACTGTTCAGGCTCCTCGGTCAGTACAAACACTTCCTCATTCCTCCTTCACTTTTCACTTCCAATTGGATTTGCGTCTATTTTCGCCTCGAACCTGCGCGAGCCCAAGAACCTGAGCGGACAGAGGAGTTATGCTGCTCACCTTGGAGCCACCTGGACACTCTCTCCTCGCTCCACGACGCGATAGGCTCCATGTTTGGAGTCCTGCTCCAGTCGCTGGTTCACTTCCCGGCGCTGCTGGCTGACTTCTACCTCCTCCCGGGGCAGCTGCACGACGGAACACACGATACTGGTTCAGATTCGGACGAGGACGAGTGGCACTCCTTCTCCCAGGTACAGGTAAGATTCAGCCCCTCCCTCCCTCCCTTCAGCTTTTTTTAACTTCCGACCGGGGCTTACCTGGAGGAAACGAGTGCGTCAAAAAGCTGCTGGGGCTTTAAGGCTTCTGAACTTCCTTCATATTTTCACTTTAATACTTTGACAATAAAGAGACAAATTACTTTTTAATTCTGAAAAATAAACTCATTGTCTGCAGAATACCACACTAATTAACTCTATGGTAATGGAGGCTGTATATAAAATAAAATAATGAAACACCTGGGCTTCTAATTGACAGAAGAAGACCAGTTTCATTATTTTATTTTATGATCATGGCCTGGAGCGGATGCCTGAGAGCCTTAGCTAAAAGTAAATACTACTTAAGAAGCTAAAAGTAGCAAAAGGCTAGCTAAAGGGAGCAAAATGTTAGCTAAAAGCTAAAAAGATTACGGAAAGCAGCAAATGTGTTACTAAAATTAAATGTAGCAAAAGGCTAGCTAAAGGTTGAAGTATTGGGCAAAAGTAGCAAAAGGCTAGCTAAATGCTAAAGGGAGCAACATGTTAGCTAAAAGGTAAAACAATTACTGAAAGCAGCAATATGTTACTAAAGTTAAAAGTAGCAAAAGGCTAGCTAAAGATTCAAGTATTAGGCAAAAGTAGCAAAATGCTAGCTAAATGCTAAAGGGAACAAAATGTTAGCTAAAAACTAAAAAGATTGCTGAAAGCAGCAATGTGTTACTAAAATTAAAAGTAGCAAAAGGCTAGCTAAAGGCTGAAGTATTTGGCAAAAGTAGCAAAATGCTAGCTAAATGCTAAAGGGAACAAAATGTTAGCTAAAAGCTAAAACAATTACTGAAAGCAGCAATGTTTTACTAAAATTAAAGGTGGCAAAAGGCTAGCTAAAGGCTGAAGTATTAGGCAAAAGTAGCAACATGCTAGCTAAATGCTAAAGGGAACAAAATGTTAGCTAAAAGCTAAAACAATTACAGAAAGCAGCAATGTTTTACTAAAATTAAAAGTAGCAAAATGCTAGCTAAATGCTAAATGGAGCAACATGTTATTTAAAAACTAAAAAGATTACTGAAAGCAACAATGTGTTACAAAAAATTAAAGGTAGCAAAACACTAGCTAAATGCTAAAGGGAACAAAATGTTAGCTAAAAGCTAAAACAATTACTGAAAGCAACAATGTGTTACTAAAATTAAAGGTAGCAAAAGGCTAGCTAAATGCTAAAGGGAACAAAATGTTAGCTAAAAGCTAAAACAATTACTGAAAGCAGCAATATGTTACTAAAGTTAAAAGTAGCAAAAGGCTAGCTAAAGGCTGAAGGAAACTGGGGGGGGGGGGGGGGGGGATATTTCAAAATAAAGTTCAATGATTTGGAACTTTAATATAGTAAAAGTCATAGCCCCGGTGAACGTCCTAAATTTTCATGAACAATGTGAGGACTTGTAATCGACTCAAAAATACAGTATTTACATTTTCATAGAGGACGTCATGAAACTTTCAGGAACTGTTCAGTGATGGAAGTTCAGAACGTCCCAGTGGTTTGAATCATGGTGCATAAAATTATACTGTCACACCATTTCAACATTTTTCTGGTGAAAACCTTATGAGCCCATGAATCAAATGTGGATTTTTGAACAGCTATATGAAAACATAAAAAGTCTTCTTCTTTAGGATAAAAGAAAATCGCCTTAACTTTATCAATATTTCATAAAAGCCTGAGTGTTTTTGCTGCATGAAGACATTTCCACTGAATTATTTACACCATCAAGGCAACATGTTGCTTCACAAACTTTTTAAAGTACGACAAACATAAACACATTTAACATTTTGGGTTTGATGCCTTGCATGAATCCACCAGATTATTAAGAAATTAAGAGCTTTATATAATTCACACATAAAAACAGACGGTAATGTTTTTGCCTGGGTCTGTTACTAAAGCATCGCATGAACCACCACGAGGATTTTAATAAGACTTTCAGAAAGTAATCATTAGAAGCAAATATAACACCACTTCATATTTGGAGCCAATCTTATTTAACACGACCGCCGCAGTGAATTGATCCCAGTTAACAAAAAAATGGCTATGAACTGGCAAATGTTGAAATTTGGTGTGGAAGTAGCTGAGAGTCATTCCTAATTTATACTGTAAGCACTATATGTTCATGCTAAAGTTATTTGTCATGTTTTTCCATTAACTATGGCAGGCAACGCTGTCTGTTAACAAAATATCTTATGAACCACTACACAGATTTTAACGAAACTCCCAGGAATAAATCATTGGATGTACATCTACATCTGATTAACTTTTAGAGTCAACCTGTTTCAAGAAGGTCACCACAGCTAATCAATTTAACAAAATACAAAAATGGCTATGAACTGGCAAATTTTTGTAGATATTAGGCTGAAATTTGTTGCAGAAGTAGCTGAGAGTTATTCCCAATACATACTGCAAGCACATTGTGCTCATGCTAGATTTGTCTAAATTTTTGCCATTAACTGCGGTATGCAACCCTGTTTGTCTGTTAGCACAATATCTTATGAACCGCTTCACAGATTTTAACGAAACTCTCAGGAATAAATCATTGGATGTACATCTACAACTGATTAACTTTTAGAGTCAACCTGTTTCAAGAAGGTCATCACAGCTAATCAAACGTAGAAAACACAAAAATTGTTATAACTCAGTCACTTGTACTGGAATTGAGCTTAAATTTGTTGGTAGTAGCTGAGAGTCATTCATAGCACATACTCCAAGTGTTAACAGCTTGAATGAGATTGCACACATTTTTTTTTCAAGATTTAACAGCTCTAACTTGGTCACTATAACTTAACACAAGATTTTAAAATTATAGCACGATTGCTGGTTGGCAATATATAATTTTTTTTTATTACCTGTCACATTATTTGCAGTATAACATAATTATCAATTCAAGATTCAAGGATTTTTAGTTGTTTTTTTTATTTTTATCTCTTGACTGGAGGTTAAATAGCATTTATTTTGAATGTCTACCTCAAAATTAAATGTCACTGCTTCAAGGCAGTTTCAACCTTTTGGCACATGTTAGTATTTTAACACTTTCGACTTTATTCAAGATTTCCGTTCTGGCACCTTGAAGAGGATTTTATGAATGAAAGTCTGAGCTGCTGCAGGCTCCTTGTTAACGTCTCATAGCAGAAGCTTCATACCAGTTTGAGGCTTGAATTTATTCCCATACAGCATTTAACCCTCACTGGCTCCACTGGGCGCCCTAGACGCTAAAACCCTGCGAGAGTTTGCTCGCTGTGGCAACCCCTGACAAAGGGAGCAGCTGAAATAATAATAAAAAAAAGAATAGTAGTAAATGGCAACCTATGCTGAAAAGGCTGCGTTCACCAAAGAACTGCCCCCTGCTCTCTGGCGCCCCCTGCTGTTTTCACTTTGTACCAAAAAAGTGGGGTGGAAATCCTTTGCGTAGCTTCATATGTGCTTCACTTTAATAAATGAGAATTATATGTTAAATGTCAAATGACAAGCACAAATGTTGAACAGGAAAGCTCAGATCTTCCTGTTTTAAAGGTGCAGCCATGGATCGAAGCTGTCAGTGTCAGTGTCAGTGTTGACTGAATTACTCCTGATCCTGAATTAGGTTGATCCCAGTTAGAAGTGTGCGAGGGGCGTGAGTGGACTGTAAGGTGTTTCATCACTACAGGTATGTACACCCTGACAAATCATTCCCAGATAGCAAACAAATGGGACTTCCAAAAATGTTGTTAAAGTTTCCCAGATGAAATCTAAACAACACATAGCTTCTTAACTAATACCTTTTTAAAGGACTCGGTGGAAATCGGTGACGTGAAGATGTTACTGTAACTTGTTTGTGCTGAGCTCAGTGTCGGGTGCTTCGTAAACGCTGTTCGTAGCCTCGGCCTTGTTGCCCAACCTGAATACCTGAGACACAAGTTCAAGCTGGGACATGCTGTTTTTGCTCGTCGGCGCTCTCAGACTCGCGTTGTGTTTAGCTGCTGTTGCTGCGAACATTATAACGCTAAAGACAAACAACTTTGGAGAACCGCGTTTAAAATATTGTTCGTCGCTGTGCTCTCCTCTTCATCAGTCTCTTCATACTCTCTCAGTTCTTCTGCAGCCTCCTCGTCCCGTCAGCTGATTTCTCCCTCTGAAGTTTGAAACAACAACAACAACAAAAAAGACACAGTTTGTGCATCATGTCTTCAGGGCAAAGGGCCACTCTTCTGAAAAGCTGCTGAATAATTACATTGCCATTCTCTCCTGCTCCGTTCAGTCAGCACGGATTGGATAATTACCCTTCCTCCATCATTGAGCAGCTAATTAATTTGTCCTGTGCCCCTCTGCTCGCACTGCAGACATGTGATTTCTCAGCTCAGTTAAGAGGATTTTATTACCTAAGGTCTAAAAGTGCTGCTACAGAAACCTGACAATTTATGTGCTACAGGCTAAAGCATCCATGCATGTATCCATTTCTGAGACCTTGGGTCAGGGGTGTCCAGTCCTGGTCCTCAAGGGCCACTACCCTCCATGTTTGGAGGATTTTCTGCTACAACACACCTATATAGTATATATTATATATATATATATATATATATATATATATATATATAGTGCCTTGCAAAAGTATTCGGCCCCTTGAACTTTTCAACCTTTTGCCACATTTCAGGCTTCAAACATAAAGATATAAAATTTTTATTTTTTGTGAAGAAACAACAACAAGTGGGACACAATCGTGAAGTGGAATGAAATTTATTGGATGTGTCAAACTTTTTTAACAAATAAAAAACTGAAAAGTGGGGCGTGCAATATTATTGGGCCCCTTTACTTTCAGTGCAGCAAACTCACTCCAGAAGTTCAGTGAGGATCTATGAATGATCCAATGTTGTCCCAAATGATTGATGATGATAAATAGAATCCACCTGTGTGTAATCAAGTCTCCGTATAAATGCACCTGCTCTGTGATAGTCTCAGGGTTCTGTTCAAAGTGC